GGGCGGTGGCACGGAAATTGTGTTATAACCCCTACTAGGTGGCCCAAAGCCCAAACGGCCAAGCTAATACATCCAACACAACAGCAGGCCAGAACGGAGGGGACAAAAGCAGGAGGAAAAGAGGAGGGGAGAGAGAGAGAGAGAGAGATAAAAAAAAAGAGAGAGAAGGAAGAGAGAAGGCAGACTAACATACTGGCCGCGACCTGTTCACAGCCGAAGGCTCCACACGTCGGCAAGCCAACTGCAGTAACAGGCGAGGTGCCGCCAGGGAGCGCAGAACCGCGGCCGCCGAGAGCACCAGAGGCACTAAAATGGCTGTCGAGGCGGGGCCCCGACGCCCCGCGGACACGCACGCCCGGAGCGGAGCCTAGCACGCGCGGGCGGGCACGCGACAGCGAAGTGAACAAAACAGCTCTGACCACGAATGCCTGCACGAGAGAAAGGAAGAGAGAGAGAGAGAGAGAAAAAAAAAAAAGGAGGCGAGGACACGCGAAGGAAACGCAGAGCCGCCCAACGCAAAAAGCCGCGGCGGCCTCACACAATCACGTAGGAGTCGGCCTGGAGGGACCACTCGGCGGCGCCCAGCGTCGACCTGTCGTTGGTACTGGAGCCACTCGCCGAAGTTGAGGTGGCGGCGCGACTCCGCCGTGGTGGACCCCATCGTGGTGAGCGCTGTTATCCACCTGAAACGGGCTGCTTTTGCCCATCAAGCTGCTCAACGTCGTAATGCTGGAGCCCGTCTTGTTGCTGAATGTCATGGTAATGGGATCCCTGGGGCTGCCAGCCCAGATACTAGAGTCCATAGTGATAGATGCTGGCGTGGTGCCCGAGTGTGTCATAGAGGTCAGTGGTAGCGCTCAATTCCGCACTGATTGACCACGACGTGGTGCTTGACTCCGTCATGGCGGACGCCATGGAACACTGTTGATTCGGGCAGCTCCCGGGTGCGGCGCTGGCGTCGGTGGTGGCGTCGGCGCTGGTGTTGGCCCTGGCGCTAGCGCTGGCGCCGGCCCTGGCGTCGGCGCGGGTGTAGGCGCTTGCGTTGGAGTCAGCTGAGGCGCAGGTGGTGGTGCTGGCGTCGTTGCTGGCGTCGGCGCTGGCGTAGTCGCCAGCGGTAGCGCCTGGAACACCCGTGAGCCGGGCAACACACTGGTACGCTGGCGTCGGTGGTGGCGCCGTCGCTGGAGTGGCATAGGCGCACGTGCTGGCGTCTGTGCTGGCGTCGGCGCGGGTGTACACCGAAAGTCGCGCTGCTCGGCCGGCGCACGCTCAAACTACTGCTCACCATCGTCGTGAATCTCACCGTGGAACTGGTCGTGGATGTCGCCGTGCGGCTACTGGCACGTGGGGTGCAACTCGACAGAAGTCAAAAGTGCATCGAAATACCAGTGCAATTAGCAGTCGCGCTGCTCGTGTTGCCCAGGCTCACCTTGCTGCTGGCTGGTTTCGTGAAGCCCCTCGTGGAACTGGCCGTAGATGTCAGACAATGCCCGCACTGCTCCTCGCGACGTAGGCGTCTGCGCTGATGTAGGCGCAGGCGTTGATGTCACCGGCATAGGCGCCGCATTGGAGCTGACATCGGTGCTTGGTGCCGGCGTAGGCGCAGGTGTTGCTGCTGGCGTCGGTGCTGACGTCGGCGCTGGCATAGGCGCCGGCGTTGGTGCTGGCGTCGGAGCTGGCGTCGGAGCTGGCGTCGGTGCTGGTGAAGGCGCTGGCGTAGGAGCTGGCGTCGGTGCTGACGTCGGTGCTGGTGTAGACTCTGGCAATGGTGCTGGCGTAGGCGCAGGCGTTGATGCTGCCGTCGGCGCTCGCGTCGGTGTCGGCGTAGGCGCCGGCATTGGTGCTGGCGTCTGTGCTGACGTCGGGGCTGGCATAGGCGCCGGCGTTGGTGCTGGCGTCGGAGCTGGCGTCGGTGCTGGTGAAGGCGCTGGCGTCGGTGCCGGCGCAGGCGCTGGCGTAGGAGCTGGCGTCGGTGCTGACGTCGGTGCTGGTGTAGACTCTGGCAGTGGTGCCGGCGTAAGCGCAGGCGTTGATGCTGCCGTCGGCACTTGCGTCGGTGTCGGCGTAGGCGCCGGCATTGGTGCTGGCGTCTGTGCTGGCGACGGTGCTTGTGTCGGTGCTGATGTAGGCGCTGGCGCTGGTGTCAGCGTAGGCGCAGGCGTTGGCGTTGGAGTCGGTGCTGTCGTCAGCGCTGGGGTAGGCGTTGGCGTTAGTGCCCGCGTAATCGCCAGCGTTGATTCTGGCGTCGGTGATGGTGACGGCGTCGGCGAAAACTTCGGCGCAGGCCCTGGCGTCGGTGCTGGTGTAGGCGCTGCCGTTGGTGCCGACGTAGGCGCTGGAATTGGTGCCGATGTCGGTGCTGGCGTAGGCGCGGACGTTGGTGCCGACGTCGGCGCTGGCATAGGCGCGGACGCTGGCGTAGGCGGTGATGCTGGCGTCGGCGCTGGCGTCGGTGCGGTGTCGATGTTGGTTTCTTTGCTGATGTCGATGCTGGTGTCGATGCTCTGGTGTCGTTGTCGGTGATGGCGTCGGTGCCGGTGTCGATGCTTGCTAGAATCGGTGCTGGTGACGATGTTCGTAGCGATGATAGTGTTGGTGCTGATATGGTGTAGGCGTTTGCGTTGGTGCCGTCGTAGGCCCAGATGAAAGGGGTGCCGGCGTTGGGCAGGAGGAACGACAGTGGGTGGGGTTCCAGATGAAGAGGGAGGGGGAAGGATGATGGGAGGAAGAGGAGGGAAGGGGGGAGGCGGAGGAGGATAGGGAGGAGGAGGAGGAGGACCAGTGTAAACCAAAGACGCATCAACGATTTCGCAGTATACCTCCCTCCAAATTCCCTCTTCATAGGTCCCTTCTAGAGCTTGTCTTCATTGGAAGACAGCCGTCTGAGAATCCTCCATCGTGCCCAAACACCGTTCCTGGGACTTCAACGCCGCGAATCAACGTGACTGTTCCGTCCTGCCAGTGCTAAAACGCATCAAAACATCATTCCTGGAACTTCGACTCCGCGAATCGAATCAACGTGACTGCTGCGTACTGACAGTCTTAAGCCGTGCCAGAAGAGCATTCCTGGGACTTTAGCCATGTGAATCGTTGACACGGCAGAAGACTTGTCAGACGAATGTGCGCGGCGCTGCGGCGAGAGCCACAACTTGCAAAGAAACTGCCCTCCATCTGTGAAGCCGTGGCAAGCTTTTAAAACAAATGAGCGCGGCGCTAGAGCGAGAGCTGCATTTTGAAAACCACCCGCCACCCATCCTTGAAGGAGGAGGATGAAAAAGGGGATAAATAAGGAGGAGGAGGAGGCGACGGACCACTGTAAACCCAAGTCGAATCAACGATTTTGCAATCCACCATCCGTTCGAGTTCACTCTTCACGGAGCCCTACAGGAAATCATCTTCATTGCCGGAAATGTCCGATTGGAAAACAACTCTCTGAGATTCTTCAATCGTGCCAGAAGACCGCTCCATGGACTTCGACGCAGCGAACAACGTGACTGTTGCGTCCTGACACCCCTAATTGTTCCAGAACGCCATTCCTGGGACTTGAACATGCAAATCCATGCAACTGCTGCAGCAAATCAAGACGAATATGCACGGCGCTTGCGAGATCCACAGCTTAAAAAGAAACGCCCTACATCCTTGAAACTGTTGCAAACTGTCATAACGAATGTGTGCGGCGCTGGGGCAATAACCACATTCTGAAAACCACCCTCCCTCCATCTTTGAAACTGTTGCAAACCTTTTAAAAATGCGCGCGGCGCCATGCCGAGAACCACATTTTGAAAACGGCCCGTCCTCAATCTGTGAAGCTGCTGCGAATGCCAATCTTCGGGATCAGAAATTGTGAGGAAGTCTCAGGCGAATCGCCCGGCCCGCCCTACGGACACGTCTGGGGGTCTGACAGGCAGGAGATACTTTTCAGGAAACGGATGGAGGAGAGAGAGAAGGAGGAGGAGGAGGAGGAGGAGGAGGAGGAGGAGGAGAAGGACAAGGAGGAGGAGGAGGAGGAGGACGACGACGACGACGACGATGAGGATGGAAGAGGATGGGGAGGAGACGGACCAGGAGCAGCAACAGCCGCAGGAGACACGCGGCCGGCCAATGGGGAAACCACGAAGTACCGATAGGGGTGCGTTCTGACCAGAATCTCGAGGCGCATCCGGCGGCGGCAACGGAGGCCTCCCAGGAGGCCCCAGGAAGGGAAAAACGAGGGAGGGGTAGCGGTACGGGGTACTTCTTCCTCCTCTGAGTGAAGCAACCAACGCACACACACAGACAGACACACACGCACACACGCGCGCGCACAAACACGCGCACACACACAGAAACACACACACAGACACAGACACAGACACAGACACAGACACAGACACACACACAGAAACACACACACAGACACAGAAACAGACACACACACAGACACACAGACACAGACACAGACACAGACACAGACACAGACACAGACACAGACACAGACACAGACACAGACACAGACACACACACACACACAAAGCACAAAGCACACACACACAAAGCACACACACACAAAGCACACACACACAAAGCACACACACAAAGCACACAGCACACAAAGCACACACACACACAAAGCACACAGCACACAAAGCACGCCGGCGCCCAGGAGGCGCGCGCTCGCCGCGAGCGCCTGCCGCCCGGAAGGAGAGCCCCGCCGCCGGCGGGCGGGCCCCTCTCGGCGGCCTCCGCGCAGGGCGCGGCCTCGCCGGAGGGCCCGCCGAGGCGGCGGGCGGGCCGTTGGCGTCGGGCGCCCCGCGGGGCGCCCCAGCGAGGCACCCGAAGAGGCCCCCACGAGGCGCGCCCACGGAGCGCCCAAGAGGCCCCCCCCAAGAGGCCCTCGAGGAGGGCCCCGGAGAGG